AGATTTTCTAAGAAATAATGCATTTTCATTTTATAATCTATAGCCCCGCCCTAGCACTAGAACATCAACCCTGGGGTCAGGAATTTCACAACATTGGAAGAGTCACTCTTGCTCATCATAACTATATACTTAGTTTATTTAATACCCTGAGGATCAGAGAAGAAGATTTTCAAAGAATTAATATCTTTTCACTTTATAATCAACAGAGCCCCGTCCTAACACCAGAACCCCTGACCCTGTGGCCATAAAATACACAATTTTGAAAGAGGCTCTCAAGTTGCTCATTATAACTATATACTTAGTTTATCTAATACCCAGGAGCAGAGAAGCAGATTTTCAAAGAATCAATGCATTTTCACTAACTCAATAGAGCCCCGCCCTAGCACTATAACCCCTAACCCTGGGGTCACAAATTTCACAATTTTGATAGAGGACTCAATGCTCATTACATTCATTCCAACAGTTTATCTGCTTGATGTCCAGGAGTAAAGAAGATTTTAAAGATTGCACTAATTTTCCTTCCCTTATCAAAATATTGACCTTCTGGCAACATCTTCTGGCTTTATTGCCGCAATATTGCAGCAACATTCTGGCAATACATTTCCGCAATATTGCGGCTATATCGTTTTTTCGTATGTAAATTAGTTTTGCGGCAATATTGCCAGAAAGGGGTTGCGGCAATATTGCTGCAAATCATGACCAAAATATTGATCTTCTGGCAACATCTTCCGGCATTATTGCCGCAATATTGCGGCTATATCGTTTTTCGTATGTAAATTAGTTTTGCGGCAATATTGCCAGAAAGGGGTTGCGGCAATATTGCTGCTAATCATGACCAAAATATTGATCTTCTGGCAACATCTTCCGGCATTATTGCCGCAATATTGCGGCAATATCGTTTTTCGTATGTAAGTTAGATATAAATTGGTATTTAATAGAAATAATGATCTATCAATCTAACAATTAACAAACTGTGCTGAGGAATATAACAAACAATAGCAAGCCACAGGGTCAATAAGAAATAGCTACTTCTGCTATTCTTTGAACAGATAGAAAATTATGTTGATCATCATATTGAAAATCAAGATATGTTTGTGAAACACTGTGCGCCTGGTGTCAATAAAGTTTGAAAAAGCTATTTATAGCATATGGGTCACAGTCAACGTCACAAGGTCATTGATCTTGGTGTCATTTGAAAGAACTTAATTAGTGGAGTATGCATACTAAATATGAAGTCTCTATCTCTTATAGTTCAAAATTTATGGCAGAGGATCAAAATGGCTATTTTTAGCATATGGGTCACAGTAAAGGTCAAATTGTCATTGACCTTGGTGTTATTTGAAAGCGTGAAGGGTGCATACCAAATATGAATTCTCCATCTTTTATGACTCAAAAGTTATGTCGAAGTTTCAAAAAATCTTTTTTAAGTACATGGTCACAGTCAAGGTCCCAAGTATATGGTCACAGCCAAGGTCTCAAGGTCATTGACCTCCAGGTGTCTTTTGAAAAAGCTTAATTAGTGAATTATGCATACTAAATATAAAGTCTCTATCTTTCATTGATTTTGAGTTATGATGAATATTCAAAAAAGCTATTTTTAGCATATAGGTCACAGTCAAGGTCACAAGGTCATTGACCTTGATGTCATTTGAAAGAACTTAATTAGTGGAGTAGACATACCAAATATGAAATCTTTATCTCTCATTGGTTCAAAAGTAATGGTGAAGGTTAAAGTTTACAAACAAACAGACAGGACAAAAACAATATGTACCCCCGATCTATACGAGACGGGCGCATAAAAAATGTTTATAGAAACAATATTAATATGCCACTGTGAAAATGTCCAGCAACTCTGCATTAATTTTCAAATAACATGCTTTAATTCATCTTAATTTCCTGCTACTCTAGGATATATAGACATACAAGTCTAGTATGCATGCACCACAAGCACTAATTGAAACACATGATTTTTCCAATTTTATCTCCATTGAATCATTCATCTCAAAAAGAATATTGGTTTTGACTCACCAAGTCTGATGATATATGGAAACAGAGTACACATTCCTATAATTCTGCTTAAATTCTTTTTTCTAGTCATTCCACACTATGCAGTCTTACTACTCAATTTGACTAATCCCACTGTACACAATTAACAACTCTAATCAACTTGATACAAATCAGTAATGAAGCAAAACATGCTTTGCCTTTGAATTCCCTCCACTTTATTTAAAAAGAGGAAGTAAATGACTGAGCATGCTCAACAAATGGCTCATGGGTAATCCTAGATGTTGCCAGAAAGTTTTTTTCTGGCAGTATTGCCAGAATGTCACCGGAAGTTGTTGCAGCTAGCAGTGATATTTCATTTTTTCTGGCAGTATTGCCAGAATGTCACCGGAAGTTGTTGCAGCTAGCAGTGATATTTCATTTTTTCTGGCAGTATTGCCAGAATGTCACCAGAAGTTGTTGCCGCTAGCGGTGATATTTCACTAACCCAAAAAGCTTGTTTCTGGTGACAAAAATGTGTTGCCGCAATGTTGCCGCAATATAACAGCAATATTGCTGCAATAATTTTACTTTGGTAAGGGTTGTTTTGGCCCCACTCCCAAGGCCCCAGGGGGGCAGGAACCATGAAATTCACAATTTTTGTCCCTGTTCACCCATAGATGCTGTATACCAAATTTGGTTGAAATTGGTTCAGTGGTTCCAGAGAAGAAGCTGAAAATGTTCAAATGTTAACACACAATGACAGAGTTTACTCAGGTGACCTAAAAACATCATTCTTTTTTTTTAAACCTGCTTTCACTGGGCAACAGAACATATATCATTTTGAATCATCTCCCTTCCTTCAATAAAAAGATCAATCCAATCATTGATCAAATTTCTAGGAAGTCTTTTGTTTTAATTAACTGTGTATAAATTTTTATACGCAACTGAAGAGGATTTTTTAAGATATACCATAAAATTTACAGCCATTCATTGAACGAGTACAACTGAGACAACCATTTTTTGTAAAAAGTAATTGACATCACTAAGGTATATTCACAGATATAAGCCAGGTCTAGTGAAGTTCAGGTCAGGTCTAGTAAAATTTTCAATAATAGTCCAACTGGTCTAGCTTGTTTTAAAGTAAATGTTGAGTCCTGGATATAGACTCTGTATATATACAGGTGATGAAGCTACATTGCTACATAAGTAAGGGAAATTGACAATAGAAAAGTTTAAGTCATCACGTTCATCATATAGCTTGGTTGTTAGATTACCATTTAATTTATGTCTTTTTCAAGTCAAACATCCAAGTATGAAACAGATGTGTCAGACTCTGGGTATCTTTTATCTCAAGCTCACCAATATATATGGTATCAACCTAGGAATGGAAATTACCATTGGTAATTGACAATAGGTTGTATATCTAAATGTCAAGTTCAAGGCCACAGCAAGTGTTTTCTTCTTTTCACGCATAAGATTTTGCACAAATTATGCTTCATATGAATATAAAAATACTCCTGTCTGCTAATAACGGAGGCGAGCACAATGGAACCCATGGGAATTCCAATAGATTGTTGGAATACCTGTCTCCAAAAACCACATAGATATTGTCATTCAGAAACTCAAGCATCTCTTTGAATTAAAGATGTTAACTTCAGAGTACTTGTATGTGCAATCAGAATGTGTTTTAACAAAATAATTTTGCAAATGACCAATGACCAGGTGAGTAAATTTTCCAGCATATGCTATTTATAGATTTTTTGTATGGGTAAGTGTGTACCTAATTTATTCTAATCTGAATTGTGGTTTTGTAGATATAAGGCCATATAAAATTAATCTTTAGATTCTAATCCCCGCCCGCCCCTCTCAAAATGTCCCACCCCGGTGTTTTTTATTTTGATTTTTGGGTATTTTCATACGTATTTTTATTCAGTAAGAATTTGGGTCAAAGTTTAAGAGTTATCTCCCGTCTGTATTAAAAGTCGTGTGTCGCTATTTATAGTAAAAACGCCATGTGAAGAATGGAGAAAAATCGGCAATAAAAGCAGTTTAAATGTGTAAGGAAAAGATAATTTGTCAGCATAGAGAAGGCAGAGAAGAAAAAATAGCATAAACACATAACACCGTTATAGATACCATCACTGGCAGGAGCAAGTATGTAGAGAGATTGTAACTAAGTAAAAATAGACGAGGAAAATGACACCTGGTCAAGTTATATATAACGATCTCCAGCTGTGTGACTTTGCTTTGAAATAAAAAAAAAATCTACAACATCGTAGACAGACTTAAGAGAAGGCCTAGATTTTTCAGTAGAATAATTATTAGAACATTTATATAGATTTTGCAAAATAAGAAGTCACGCATACACAATTTATTGGTATCCCCAACTCATTTTGTTAGGGTGTGCCGTATAATGTGTACTTGATAATTTGTTAATTAACAATAAATATTTAATTTTTAAAGCAAATATTTTCTTTAAATATTTAAAAGAATATGAAAAGAATTAAATCTATTCATATTTGCATTAAGGTAATGAAAAACATGTGTACGGGGTGTCCATTGTTTTGTTGATACTTAGGCCTATATATAAATTAACAATTATAAAAAATAAAAGATAAAATCCGCCCACCCGCCCCAATTTTTTAGCAAATTAGGATGAGAATCTAAAGATTAATTTTACCTGGCCTAAAGATAATCCCAAACTTTTTGAACACCTCTCGTAGATATTAAAAGTATTGCACACAAGTCCTTCATTTAGTGGAACTCTTCAACTCCAAGGAAGAACCCAATAAAGTTCAAACTATGTACGTATGTTGCATATGACCTTAAATTTAGTTTAGGCACTCACTAAGATACAAATTATATCTGGTAATTAGCTTGTAGACTAGTATAAAATTAAGTTTAACTTTCTTAAAATGACCACCACTTATGCTTACATTTTTGTAGTCAATTTATTTTAAGAAAAATATTTTTGTTACTTCAGTGAACTACAGTGAATTAAAAATATGACTTACCCAAGTGCATCCCTCCACATGATGTCAATCAGGATCGTCCTATCCAGGTCATCCATCTCTGAAGAACAGCTGAAAGGAGAATAGAAAAATTAATATAGAATGAACAGCTGCATGAACGGGGAGTAAGAAATGTAGAATGAACAGCTGAAATGGGAGAAATGAATATTGAGTACAATAATTATGGTCCTAAAATTCATGTTCCACTTATGGTTTGAGGTCATACTTCATTGCTACCTTTTTTGAGGTCTGATTAATTTCCCCTTTTTCAGCACAGTACATGTAGGTTTACATTGTTTAAAATGAAGATAGTTAAATTTCAATTATTACCTGGTCTGTTATGACTGGATGCTTAAATATGACACCTGGCACAGCTAACCTAGCTGATATACAGAACAGCACTGTTGATTGTTCACCATTTATAAGAGAGAGAGTTACACAGCCGAACATCACTAATTTTCAATGGGGGGTTCATTTTCGTTGTTTTTGAGACCCATAAATTCATGCCCACAACAGAATGTAAATTTTCATATGCACAACTACTAAAAAGTTCTTCATCCATGAGATCAAATCCCCCATGAACCAACATTTTTTTCTCGAACCACGAAAATTTGACCCCACGGAAATATGTGGTTTTTACAGTATCTCGACCAACGATATATCTGACGTAAAGGGTAAACTGATCGCGAGTCAGGAGTCAATTTGTATTCACCAACAATATTGACAACAGGGTACATTACATGCATGAACTTAACAAGCAAATTCAAGGAATTGTGGTCCCACCGCTTTGGGTGTCTTTGTGGTTGAGAAGTCATTTTTTATGACATATTGTGTGTAATATGAACACCCTATCATATGTCATCTATTTAGAAATCATCCCTGAACTCCAAGGTCAAGGGGTTTAAGTTCTTGGTATCCAATGAAAAGTCTTTCCATAAGGATTACATATGTGAAGTATGAAAGCCCCAGCCCTTACGGTTCAAAAGTAATGGTCAAGGTTAAAGTTTTTTTTATAAGTACAGAAACCTCCAAGGTCAAAAAGTCAAAGTTGTTGTTATCCAATGAAAGGTCTTTCAACAAAAAATACAGATAAGAAGTATAAAAGTCCCAGTATCCACTGTTCAAAAGATATGGCCAAGGTCAATGTTTTTGAAAAGTAGGTTAAATTCCAAGGTCAAGGTCAAAAGTCAAAGTTGTTGGTATCCTAGCAATTCCACCTAAAAATTAAAACATCGAATTCGACATTCAATTTTTGATTTCTGAGCAGTTAAGTCCAGAAGATGAAAGGAATAAACATTCCTTGTTATGAAATTATACAGAATAAAGAAAATATTGATGCTCAAAAATACCCAAACACTAACAACGTCTGTGACCCAAAAGAGCAAAAAGGGAAGATAACTACGAAAAGCATTTCGAGCGCGATTGAAATTAAGCAAAATATTTATAACTGGATATAAGGTCTGAATGATTTTAAAATAAAAATAATTAAAGAGTGTATTTTAAATTGCAAAAATTTCATTATACTTAAAAGAATTCTGAGCTGTCATCACTTTATTCTATACATATCATGAAAATATCAACGATGCCTCCGATCCCGATCCCGATGAAGAAAACAATTTAACAACAGAATACCACGTCAGTAGGTTAAAAAAAGATTTACAAAAATTTTCACATTTATAGAACGTGTAGTTTTTACATGACCTTTGTAAACATATCCCCTAATTTTTCGTTGGCGAGCAACTTCGAGCAAGCAGAAGAACATGTGAAAAAATTATTTTTTCGTGTCGTACATGTTAGACATGTATTTTTAAAATATATTTACATTTAATCTAATTACATATAGAGTAAAACTATTATAGGATAATTTCACCAAATACCTATAGAAAATTATTTTTACTGGTAAAAGCAACGTCACATTCCAAATAAAGGTCTGTCATGCGAAACACGAAGTGGTGCGTATCTGTATAACCCGGACACTCAAAAGTCAAAGTTGAGTTGGTAGCGGTCCAATAAAAGGTCTTGTCACAAAGAATATACATGTACATGTGTAATATGAATGTCCTAATATCTACCATTTAGAAGTTATGGCCAAAGTAAAAGTTTGGAATTTTTGTGTAAAAATGGGTCAAACTCAAAGGTCAG